CAATGTCAGAGCAAAAGGAAGCAAGTTTTCTTCCAGGACAACCTTGTACGTGGCTTGATTCATGCGTCCTTCACAAAGACAAATCTGCCCGATTCCAGCCTTGCTGAAGCACCCCCAGATCATCACCGATCCTCCACCAAATTTCACAGTGGGTGCGAGACACTGTGGCTTGTAGGCCTCTCCAGGTCTCCGTCTAACCATTAGACGACCAGGTGTTGGGCAAAGCTGAAAATTAGACTCATCAGAGAAGATTACCTTACTCCAGTCCTCTATGGTCCAATCCTTATGGTCTTTTGCAAACCTCAGCCTGGCTCTTCTTTGCTTCTCATTGATGAAGGGCTTTTTTCTAGCTTTGCACGACTTCAGCCCTGCCCCTAGGAGCCTGTTTCTAACCGTCCTCGCCGTGCACTTCACCCCAGCTGCCGTTTGCCATTCTTTTTGTAGGTCACTTGATGTCATCCTACAGTTGTTGAGTGACATTCGAATTAGTTGGCGGTCATCCAGGTCAGTAGAGAGTAGTTTTCGCCCTCTGCCGGTCTGTAGCTTTGTTGTCTCCAATGTCTGCTGCTTGACCTTGTACTTATGAACCGCCGTCTTTGAAATTTTAAGGATGGAAGCAACCTGACGCTCACTGTATCCCTCTGCCAGTAAAGCCAGAATTGAACCCTTCTTTTCCTCACTCAAAACTTTCCTTTTCAACTCTTTTGGCATGGTCAATAGTTATTCTTTGATTAATATTACTTTTGAGGTACTATTATTACTGTTTTGACCACAGCAGTGGTTTTTATACTTTTCCTCGTTAAATAACATTTGGTTCATGTGATCACCTAATCAGTACCTAATTCAGTAGAATGAGGTGTGCCTGTGTTGGAATTCAACAGACACTGGAATGGAATGGATGCTGATTTAAGAAAAATTTGCAGTGGTCTCTTAATTTTTTCCACAGCTGTATGTATATATACACTGCTCAAAAAAATAAAGGGAACACTTAAACAACACAATGTAACTCCAAGTCAATCACACTTCTGTGAAATCAAACTGTCCACTTAGGAAGCAACACTGATTGACAATACATTTCACATGCTGTTGTGCAAATGGAATAGACAACAGGTGGAAATTATAGGCAATTAGCAAGACACCCCCAATAAAGGACTGGTTTTGCAGGTGGTGACCACAGACCACTTCTCAGTTCCTATGCTTCCTGGATGATGTTTTGGTCACTTTTGAATGCTGGCGGTGCTTTCACTCTAGTGGTAGCATGAGACGGAGTCTACAACCCACACAAGTGGCTCAGGTAGTGCAGCTCATCCAGGATGGCACATCAATGCGAGCTGTGGCAAGGTTTGCTGTGTCTGTCAGCGTAGTGTCCAGAGCATGGAGGCGCTACCAGGAGACAGGCCAGTACATCAGGAGACGTGGAGGAGGCCGTAGGAGGGCAACAATCCAGCAGCAGGACTGCTACCTCCGCCTTTGTGCAAGGAGGAGCAGGATGAGCACTGCCAGAGCCCTGCAAAATGACCTCCAGCAGGCCACAAATGTGCATGTGTCTGCTCAAACGGTCAGAAACAGACTCCATGAGGGTGGTATGAGGGCCCGACGTCCACAGGTGGGGGTTGTGCTTACAGCCCAACACCGTGCAGGACGTTTGGCATTTGACAGAGAACACCAAGATTGGCAAATTCACCACTGGCGCCCTGAGCACATGTGACAGACGTGACAGAGTCTGGAGACGCCGTTGAGAACGTTCTGCTGCCTGCAACATCCTCCAGCATGACCGGTTTGGCGGTGGGTCAGTCATGGTGTGGCATTTCTTTGGGGGGCCGCACAGCCCTCCATGTGCTCGCCAGAGGTAGCCTGACTGCCATTAGGTACCGAGATGAGATCCTCAGACCCCTTGTGAGACCATATGCTGGTGCGGTTGGCCCTGGGTTCCTCCTAATGTAAGACAATGCTAGACCTCATGTGGCTGGAGTGTGTCAGCAGTTCCTGCAAGAGGAAGGCATTGATGCTATGGACTGGCCCGCCCGTTCCCCAGACCTGAATCCAATTGAGCACATCTGGGACATCATGTCTCGCTCCATCCACCAACGCCACGTTGCACCACAGACTGTCCAGGAGTTGGCGAATGCTTTAGTCCAGGTCTGGAAGGAGATCCCTCAGGAGACCATCCGCCACCTCATCAGGAGCATGCCCAGGCGTTGTAGGGAGGTCATACAGGCATGTGGAGGCCACACACACTACTGAGCCTCATTTTGACTTGTTTTAAGGACATTACATCAAAGTTGGATCAGCCTGTAGTGAGGTTTTCCACTTTAATTTTGAGGGTGACTCCAAATCCAGACCTCCATGGGTTGATAAATTTGATTTCCATTGATCATTTTTGTGTGATTTTGTTGTCAGCACATTCAACTATGTAAAGAAAAAAGTATTTAATAAGATTATTTCATTCATTTAGATCTAGTATGTGTTATTTTAGTGTTCTCTTTATTTTTTTGAGCAGTATATATATATATACATATATATATATATATATAGTGGGGAGAACAAGTATTTGATACACTGCCGATTTTACAGGTTTTCCTACTTAAAAAGCATGTAGTCTAATTTTTATCATTGGTACACTTCAACTGTGAGAGACGGAATCTAAAACAAAAATCCAGAAAATCACATTGTATGATTTCTAAGTAATTAATTTGCATTTTATTGCATGACATAAGTATTTGATACATCAGAAAAGCAGAACTTAATATTTGGTACAGAAACCTTTGTTTGCAATTACAGAGATCATACGTTTCCTGTAGGTCTTGACCAGGATTGCACACACTGCAGCAGGGATTTTGGCCCACTCCTCCATACAGACCTTCTCCAGATCCTTCAGGTTTCGGGGCTGTCGCTGGGCAATACGGACTATCAGCTCCCTCCAAAGATTTTCTAGTGGGTTCAGGTCTGAAGACTGGCTAGGCCACTCCAGGACCTTGAGATGCTTCTTACGGAGCCACTCCTTAGTTGCCCTGGCTGTGTGTTTCGGGTCGTTGTCATGCTGGAAGACCCAGCCACAACCCATCTTCAATGCTCTTACTGAAGGAAGGAGGTTGTTGGCCAAGATCTCGCGATACATGGCCCCATCCATCCTCCCCTCAATACGGTGCAGTCGTCCTGTCCCCTTTGCAGAAAAGCATCCCCAAAGAATGATGTTTCCACCTCCATGCTTCACGGTTGGGATGGTGTTCTTGGGGTTGTACTCATCCTTCTTCTTCCTCCAAACACGGCGAGTGGAGTTTAGACCAAAAAGCTCTATTTTTGTCTCATCAGACCACATGACCTTCTCTCATTCCTCCTCTGCGCTGGCTTGAGCAGGGGGACCTTGCGTGCGCTGCAGGATTTTAATCCATGACGGCGTAGTGTGTTACTAATGGTTCTTTGAGACTGTGGTCCCAGCGCTCTTCAGGTCATTGACCAGGTCCTGCAGTGTAGTTCTGGGCTGATCCCTCACCTTCCTCATGATCATTGATGCCCCACGAGGTGAGATCTTGCATGGAGCCCCAGTCCGAGGGTGATTGACCGTCATCTTGAACTTCTTCAATTTTCTAATAATTGCGCCAACAGTTGTTGCCTTCTCACCAAGCTGCTTGCCTATTGTCCTGTAGCCCTTCCCAGCCTTGTGCAGGTCTACAATTTTATCCCTGAAGACCTTACACAGCTCTCTGGTCTTGGCCATTGTGGAGAGGTTGGAGTCTGTTTGATTGTGTGGACAGGTGTCTTTTATACGGGTAACGAGTTCAAACAGGTGCAGTCAATACAGGTAATGAGTGGAGAACAGGAGGGCTTCTTAAAGAAAAACTAACAGATCTGTGAGAGCCGGAATTCTTACTGGTTGGTAGGTGATCAAATACTTATGTCATGCAATAAAATGCAAATTAATTACTTAAAAATCATACAATGTGATTTTCTTGATTTTTGTTTTAGATTCCGTCTCTCACAGTTGAAGTGTACCTATGATAAAGATTACAGACCTCTAAATGCTTTGTAAGTAGGAAAACCTGCAAAATCTGCAGTGTATCAAATACTTGTTCTCCCCACTGTAATTAACAGATATATATATATATCTATCTATCTATCTATCTCAAAGTTAGTAATGGATCATTTAAATAATTTACACAAACCTCCCATAGATTACCATCTTCTTAAACAGACAAGGCACATAATCCATATTTTCAAATCCCTCAGATTTTGAGGTTACATTGACAAGATTTCTATGCCCCACCTTTCCATAATTACTGCAGAGGGTCATTTAAGAAGCTTAATGAGAGAACACTATTCAGAATGACAAGCTCAGAGAGTAATTACATCAACACTGAATACTAGTACTGAATTTTATTTTAAAAAGTCAAATTGATATCAGGGTAAAGAAATTATAACAATAACCAAAATTAAATCTCGCACAGTGTTACAGAAGATGTCAAAGAGCGATTACAGTTCATTTTAAATGGTTGTTTACACCACCAGTACCTTTTCAGTAGACTGGTAGCTATAACTTCATCTAGTGTGGATAATAGAGTTCTAGTCTGGCATTCAATTTAAAATCTGATTATCTGGACATGTCACAAAAATGCAAAAGGAGTTAAATAGTGAGCATTTATGTATAAACCACTGGCAAATAAGAGTCCAACTACCGTAACAGATAGCTATGAATCATGCCAGCGGAATGAATAGTCAAATTTAAAAAGGGAACATTCTTTCATAAAACACAGATACATACCAACAGAGGGGCTGGGTGAGTTAAGGGGGACGTTTTTACAAATGTGGCAACATGTCTTTCCCTTCAAATTAGGAATTATTAAGTGTGTCAAGGGACAATGTATTCATGATTCTTGCTATCCAGAAGTGTAAACTTTATTAGTAAAAAAATGAACATGATGTAAAAGCCCTTAAATTACATCTAGACATTATGGTTGTAGTTGAGGAGGTAGAATAGAAAAAAAAGACGTTATTTCATTATTCTAAAAAAGAAAACGAGCCTTGGATTTGGCTTGAGGTTCTTTAGTCAGCCTCTTCCTCCTCGGACTCAGATTCTGAAAAAACAGATGAGATTCAAGTCAACTGCATGCACAGACAAATGTGCTATGGTGAATACAGACAAAACTACATGCTCAGTCACATCAGACAATGGGACAAGCGGCTTTTTTGAAGGCTTTACCTGCAATGATGGCGAGGTGGTTATTGTATCTACTATAGTTTAACTGATTTTCAGTCGCTCTGGATAAGAGTTTCTGCTAAATTACTCAACTGTAATGTAAAATGTAAGCCATGCTCACCTTCCTCCGCATTCTTGAGCCACTCAACAAACTTTTTCATTTGTTCCAGGAAAACACTCCTTCCTTTGGCAACGTGGGCCTCGGTGTACCACTTCAGAATGGCCTCCTCACTCAAAACATCCGCTGGGAAAAATAAATCAACATGATCATTACAAACCGGCAGTCATCCCGGGATAAAGATACAGTTATGGCCACTTGACAAAGACAATTATGACCAACTAAAATGTGTTGATGTGAATCTGCTAGGCAACCTTGCATTCACACACTAACGCAGAAATCTGCTTAGATTGGCCGAAATGTTAACTTGTATTTTTCCTTATATAGGACACATCCTGTGTTTTATCCAAATCAACGATATGCACTGAGCTTGTCTGATGCCATAAGCGCACTGTCTGATGAAAAATTAAGTCACACAAATGACTAAATTGAGTATGACTGCAATTTATTTCATTTGATTGAGCCAGGCTCAGACTTGGGTAAGAAATTAAATGATAGCGAGTGACTGTGTCTAGCACCCATAACACGTGAGAGCAAAATGGATGCAGAGGAAATGACAAACTAGAAACGGGGGAATGTTTACTGGTTACTCAGGAGATAAAGGGGAAGTCAGACGTGTGGAATAAATTTGACTAGCTGTGGAAAATACTGGAGATCAAGAAAAAGTAGATATGGAGCAAGTGATGCGTGCATATTGTGTGCCAAACAGGTGCTGTTAGATTACAACATAATTATTCTGAACGTTTGGAACAATGTAAACACTAATAAATAAGCGTACCAGAGAGTTAGTTGTAACGTTGTTTTGTTTGTAAAGCCTTTATTACAGCAAAGATTAAAAACAGTTGCGTGCATTCGTGAATGCAATTGCCAAAATGGAATGGTTTATTTATTGTTTACGCTAATTATTCAAGGGTTGCTTCATTTTATTATAAAACTCGTATGCTGTGTGATGACATGAACAAATGAATGACTGATACAGTAGCCTATGTAAGAATTTAAATATAGGCCTAAGTAAGTAACAGTATTAAGACTAAACAGGATGCACTCTAAGGATCAAGAAAAAGGAGGGTTATTATTACAAATATAATTTCTGACAATTTGGAACAGTGTAAACACTAAATAAGTAATATCAGGAAGGCTGTTCCAACCCCAAAAAAAGTGTAAAGCCTTCATTACAACATAGCAAAGATTGAAAACAGCCACATTTGTGAAATTATTTATCCGCCGTGTGGTTGCGTGATGCTTGGTGCTCACGGAATAAGTAGGCTATTAACCAAACACTCAAACAGGCAACAAAAGCAGGATCAGTCTTATTTCTGTAGATATATACACTACATTTTACATTTTTACATTTTAGTCATTTGGCAGACGCTCTTTTCCAGAGCGACTTACTACATGACCAAACGTATGTGGACACCTCCTCGTTGAACATCTCATTTCAAAATCATGGGCATTAATATGGAGTTGGTAGAACCTTTGCTGCTATAACAGCCTCCAGTCTTCTGGGAAGGCTTTCCACTAGATGTTGGAACATTGCTGCGGGGACTTGCTTCCATTCAGCCACAAGAGCATTATTGAGGTCGGGCACTGATGTTGGGCGATTAGGCCTGGCTCGCAGTCGGCGTTCCAATTCATCCCAAAGGTGTTCGATGGGGTTGAGGTCAGGGCTCTGTGCAGGCCTGTCAAGTTCTTCTACACCGATCGACAAACCATTTCTGTATGGACCTCGCAGGGGCATTGTCATGCTGAAACAGGAAAGGGCCTTCCCCAAACTGTTGCAACAAAGTTGGAAGCACAGAATCGTCTAGAATGTCCTTGTATGCTGTAGCTTTAAGACTTCCCTTCACTGGAACTAAGGGGCCTAGCCCAAAGCATCAAAAACAGCCCCAGACCATTATTCCTCCTCCACCAAACGTTACAGTTGGCACTATGCATTCGGGCAGGTAGCGTTCTCCTGGCATCCACCAAACCCAGATTTGTCCGTCGGACTGCCAAATGGTGAAGCGTGATTCATCACTCCAGAGAACGCGTTTCCACTGCTCCAGAGTCCAATGGCGGCGAGCTTTATACCACTCCAGCACATGGTGAACTTAGGCTTAAGCTACTCGCCATGGAAACCCATTTCGGCAGTGTGTTGCAACCGAGGACAGGTGATTTTTACGCGCTTCAGCGGTTCCGTTCTGTGAGCTTGTGTGGCCTACCACTTCGTGGCTGAGCAGTTGTAGCTCCTAGACATTTAAACTTTACAATAACAGCACTTAGAGTTGCCTGGGGCAGCTCTAGCAGGGCAGAAATTTGACCAACTGACTTGTTGCAAAGGTGGCATCCTATGACAGTGCCACGTTAAAAGTCACTGAGCTCTTCAGTAAGGCCCTTCTACTGCCAATGTTTGTCTATGGCGATTACATGGCTGTGTGCGTGATTCTATACACCTCTCAGCAACGGGTGTGGCTGAAATAGCCGAATCCACTAATTTGAAGGGGTGTCCACATACTTTTGTATATGTAGTGTATATGGATGATTTATAAAAACCAGGCACATTTAACAGTTAGGTCTATAATCAATCAATAGCCTAATTCAGTTGGTTTATGTTTCTCCTAACTTTTTCTTTGTCAATTAAGGCAAGGGATGTTCTCATCTCCTAACTCCGCTGCTGCCTCCGCCACATTGTTCTCAACACCAATATGCTGGTTAACTTTGCTATTATGCACATAGCAACATGGTCTAGGAAAAGTTGTCAATTCAACAGTGCACTTATGTTTCAGAACTGCAGACCGCGACTGCTATCAGACGCGTCAGAAAGCGCATTTGTTATAAAATAATATTATTTGTATTAGTGTTGCACCATTGTCCTTAACCATATACAATTTCAGTAGCACATGTCTTAGAGTGACGGACTGAGTCATCCCCACAGCTTCAATGGATCAATCCACTCAGACAGGCTCGAATCAGATAGGTGTCTTGTACACCATGAAACATTAAATTTTTTTTGCTAATGATCGACTTAAGAAATCTTGGTCGACCAACAGCCTATTGACCAAGCAATCGACTTAATGGGGTCAGCCCTAGAGCATATAATGTCCCATCTCTCATATTTGAAGGAATATAAATCATTCTAAAACTGACCACTGTCCCTCCAACATTTTCTGGTGGGCTCAGGTTGGCTGAGCAAAGCAGAACAGGAAGTGTAGAAAATAAAGCAGTATTTCCACCGCTTTCACTATGGCCATTGATTCTGCTCCGCTGGGCAAAGCGGAATAGGAACGCCCACTTTTTATGGTAGTCAATGCAGATCCCGCTTTGATTAGCACAGTGGGAAGGTTTTGGCGGCTACGGTCAATGCGAGGTCAGAAGATGGAATCAAAGCTCACTGGATACAAGGATCCTAGGTCCTTCCCTCTGACATTCCCAAGGACGGAGGACACAGACAACGCTATTCACTGTTCTCCTTTCCTTTGTCTAAGTAAGTAAACCTTGTCCGAGCCAGAACAACCCATAAGGGCAGGAGCCTATGTCCTGTTTCTGTAGCGTAAGGCAGCTTGATACACAAGTTCACCCCCTGGACAGGAACCTAGTCTGTCCCAGGGCCTTTCCCCCAATCCATCTCCTTAAATGCTGAGTGCCAAGCAGAGGCATCGCTTTTACCTTTGTAGAGCAGGACCACGATCTTCTGGAAGGAGTTCATGAAATGGATGTTGTCATAGCAGTACTCCTGCATCTTCACCAGCAGCAGGATCTCAGAGGCTCCCTGGGATGTGAACGCCTTCAGCAGGGGGCTGTATTGCTATGGAGAGACAGGGGGTGTTTCCACAAGTCATGAAATCCAGCAGCACAATATGACTCACTTCCGTCACATTGTGGAGCACCATGTACCTACGCTGTCTGACTGTGAGAATCCTGCAGAGAAGGTGTACTCAAGTTTCTCTCCACACTACTCATATCTAGTTAGATGTGGAAGTGATGGCTCTGAAATCAGTGCAAACCAATCAGCCAAGTAGCTCACCTTCAAGTGTTTGATGGCTTGTTCTGTAACCAGCTCCTCTTTCTTGTTCCACTCCACATAGCTCATAACGCTGGTCCACACGATGCCGATCATGGTCTGCTCTGAGATGTTGTTCTTCTTCATCTCCTCCCTGGCTGAGGCAATGATCTGGAGGGAAAGGAGGGTATGAAAGTAAGTCCATAAGTAAGAACTGTTTCTGGTTATTGGGCATTTCATGTCCATCCCATGCTAACAAAATGAGGAATCATGATCGAAAACTATCCTTCAACACAGAGACTGATCTGATTCTCTACCCCAAGTATGCTCAAATTCACTTCCCATGCTAAAACCAATCCAACACATCTAAATCAATTAGGGACAATGAGAGCAAGTGCACCGTTGAAGGGTTAAGGGTAGGGAATGGAACTCAACCAGAGTGCTCCTGCAGCAATCAGCATAGAGCCAGGCTTTGGACTCACATCTTTGAAAGCATCCCCGCGCTCCATCTGTTCCTGGAGCTCCTTCTGAAGCTCCTTACGGGACCCGATGGCCTGCTGGTTCCTGGCAAAGTCCGACAGCTCCTTGAGTCCAGCATCTGTGAAGTACTTAGAGAAGTGCTCACAGCTCCGCTTGTTGGCAGGAAACAGCTCCTGCAAGACACAAGGTGTAGAAATGGGCTTAACCACACAGAATTAAGTAGAACACATGCTACTATATTGCATCTTTATGCTTAAGCCCTGTCCAAATAAAGCAGCTTCTCCTTGGCTCTCAAAATTAACCTTCCCTAAATTTCTTGCATCCTCTTACCGCTTCCTTATCAAAACCCATTGGAAAGAGGTGAAGTCAGAAGGGAGGGACCTTGAACCTTCTCCGATACAATTGAGAAGGTGAGGAGATAGGATGCGAGGAATCAAGGAAAGACAGAACCTTTGTATTCTGAGAGCTCCCTTTTCTTAACTTCCCTGCTACCCAATGATTGTTTACGCTGAGCCAAGGAAAGCTAGCAGGGCTTCAGATTGGACATCACCCACATAATTGGTGGTCTCACTCACCAGAAGCCTGTTATCCATGCCGACCTTACGGAGACTTCCAGCCACAGAGTTGATGTCCTTCTCATGGATCCAGGATTTGAAAAGTTTCACAGCAAAGGCCGCAGAGACACCTGGGTAAAGAAAGATGGGAAACCATTTATTTTAGGTCTACCAGGTGAAAAGCCAGATTCCACAGGACATGATTCCAGAGGTTTTACAAGCCTGCCCAGTAAAAACAGAAATTAAGCAATTTCACACACAAGGACTGTTGTACGAGACAAAACAATAAATACGCCCTAGGTAAATTAACATCTTACAGTGAATGTTTGCAACTTTCATTTGACTTAAGTCCCTACAAGTCCTTTTCACAAGTAACTGTATATGAGCTTGTAAGTATATAGTCTGGTTTCCCCAGACACAGATTAAGCCTAGTCCTAGATTTAAAATAATACTCAATGGAAAATCTCTATTGAAAGTGATTTTTAGTCCAGGACTAGGCTCAATCTTTGTCCTATTGAGTTGGCACTGCTGCACACCTTCTTTGACAAGGTTCTCGTTGTAGAGGCTGTTGAGGATTGAGGCTGAGATGTTGCCGTTGGCTAGCAGGATGCCAGTCAACATGGCCAGCTTGTTGCGCTCAGACTCAGTGAACCCCTTTAGGAACAGCAGCAACTGAACAAGAGATAAGAACAAGAGGGAAACTCAAACACTGAAAGTTAGAATGGAATACAATAGAATGCTAGTATAAGGATGGAATACAATAATATTCCATTCTATCCTTACCCAACTTGAATTGCACATTCTCCAAAGACAAGAGTATACTTTGGATAGAATGCTGTACTTTGAACTGGATAACACTATGGAACATACGGCCAAGAGTTGAAAGAATTGCATATTCTAGAGCAAAAGTCTCATGCCAGGCTCAATAATGTAGTCTATCAAGTCTGTATCCCAAATGGCACCCTATTCCCTTTATAGTGCACTACTTTTGACCAAAGCCCTATGGGGGTCAATTGGGAAGCAGCAATGAGTTGAATAACTCTACGGTGACAACAGAAAGATCCAACAGAAAAGAGAATGCAACATTTTGAACAATGCTGCACAACAAGAATGTATTCACCTTCTTGATCTCCTCTTCGAACCCTTTCTCCAGGTACTTGTAACGCCTGATTAGCTTGTTGAAAACCTAGGTAACGACAGGGAAAATAGTCAGGGCCGGTTTCCCAAAAGCATCTTATGGCTAAGTTAATTATTAGAACCTTCGTTAAAACTGAGCGGTTTCCCAAAACCATTGTCACTAAAGTTGCACTTGAACTACACCACCCATAGAACAGCTAAGTGTGTTATGTTAGATGCTTTTTTTGCCCTCCCACGTCACTTTACACACAGATCTCTGCTAAACATAGAATCACATGGTTTTCAGTCTCTGTGACCGCCGATAACTTCACAACGAAATTGACTACAAATACAAAGTTGCCAATGCCTTTGACAAGTGAAGAATAAAAAACATGCTTCAAATGAAAACCAAGATGACTGCATTAAAAGATAAATTGCCCACCAACAGTATAGGTTACATAGGCCTATATACTGTATTTCAATGATATTGAAAGCAATTTTCTGTTCATTCAATCTAGTTTTATTTTGCTATTTGGCTAGTCTAATTTTTGCCTCAATATATTTCATGTGTAGCCTACCATGTGCGCAATGATGTGCAAAATCTTGATTTAATGCATTATTATAGGGTAAGCATTAGGATAAGCCACCTCAATAATTGCAGCCAAAATCTCTCTAGGGCCTGATCCAGCGTTAGTATTGTGGAATAATTACAATGTTAAGGTAAGATTTGAATGGAGAAAGCTGAACCGAGAGCAGCACTGCCTTTCTTTCGATCCTATCAGTATCGACACGCACCTCAACGACGCACTAAGCGAACGTTCTCTCGGAGTGGCGTTATGAGACACAAATGTTACATCTTCAGCCATTGTAGGAAAGATGCATCGTTAAAACTTGTATCATAATCAACCTTTTCCTTCAGTACAAGAGGGAAAGGGGTTTGAACCACAGTTACTAATGTAGTGAAGCAAAAAAAGAGACAAGTCAAGGCATCATCATCTTCAGCTCTTTATTGCTAAACCAATAAACTCCATTGCACAAGTGTACCTGAGCATATGCTTGCATGGTCTCCAGGTCTTCTTGGGCTGTAAAGAGACAGAACTCTGTACGGGTCAAGTCATCTGACAAGGTACCCCCTGGGGCTGAAAAAGAAGAAAACAAAAGTGAAGGTTAGGGACAGTTGAAATGTACGCAATTGTACCCGGAGGGTCATGCTTTTTCAATTTCAGTCAGGGGGAAGGTTTACCAGTCAAAAGTTTGGAAACACCTACTCATTCCAGGGTTTTTCTTTATTTTTACATTGTAGAATAATAGTGAAAACAAACACTATGAAACACATTTGGAATCCTGTAGTACCCAAAAAAAGTGTTAAACAAATCCAAATATATTTTATAATTTCAGATTTTTCAAAGTAGCCACCCTTTGCCTTGACGACAGCTTTGCACACTCTTGGCATTCTCGCAACCAGCTTCATGAGGTAGTCACCTGGAATGCATTTCAATTAACAGGTGTGTCTTGTTAAAAAAAGTTATTTAATGCATTTGAGCCAATCAGTTGTGTTGTGACAAGGCAGGGGTGGTATACAGCAGATAGCCTTACTTGGTAAAAGACCAAGTCCATAATATGGCAAGAACAGCTCAAATAAGCAAAGAAAAACGACAGTCCATTACTTTAAAGTCGCAAAAACCATCAGGTGCTATGATGAAACTGGCTCTCATGAGGACCGCCACAAGAAAGGAAGACCCAGAGTTACCTCTGCACCAGAGGATAAGTTCATTAGAGTTACCAGCCACAGAAATTGCAGGCCAAATAAATGCTTCAGAGTTCAAGTAACAGACACATCTCAACATCAACTGTTCAGATGAGGCCGTGTGAATCAGGCCTTCATTGTCGAATTGCTTCGACCAAGAAACACCAGCAATGGACATTAGACCAGTGGAAATCTGTCCTTTGGTCTGATGAGTTCAAATTTGAGATTTCTGGTTCCAACCGCCGTCTTTGTGAGATGCAGAGTAGGTGAATGGATGATCTCCGCATGTGTGGTTCCCACCGAGAAGCATGGAGGTATGATGATGTGGGGGTGCTTTGCTGGTGATTTATTTAGAATTCAAGGCACACTTAACCAGCATGGCTACCACAGCATTCTGCAGCGATACGCCACCCCATCCGGTTTGCGCATAGTGGGACTATCATTTGTTTTTCAACAGGACAATGAATTAGCAATCTCCAGGCTGTGTAAGGGCTATTTGACCAAGAAGGAGAGTGATGGAGTGCTGAAATCAGATGACCTGGCCTCCACAATCCCCTGACCTCAACCCAATTGAGATGGTTTAGGATGAGTTGGACCGCAGAGTGAAGGAAAAGCAGCCAACAAGTGCTCAGCATATGTGGGAACTCCTTCAAGACTGTTGGAAAAGCATTCCAGGTGAAGCTGGATGAGAGAATGCCAAGAGCGTGCAAAGCTGTCATCAAGGAAAAGGGTGGCGATTTGAAGAATCTCAAATATATTTTGATTTGTATAACACTTTTTGGGTTACTACATGATTCCATATGTGTTATTCCATAGTTTTGATGTCTTCACTATTATTCTACAATGTAGAAAATAGTACAATTAAAGAAAAACCCTTGAATGAGTAGGTGTGTCCAAACTTGACTGGACCTTTCTGGACCATGTTAACTATAGAGAAAAAGATACATAACTGATCCAAATGATTGCATAATCATGCATAGGCTATATGGTACTCCCTGTATATACAGTTAAAGTTGGAAGTTTACATACACTTTGGTTGGAATCATTAAAACTCATTTTTCAACCACTCCACACATTTTTTCTTAACAAACTATAGTTTTGGCAAGTCGGTTAGGACATCTACTTTGTGCATGACACAAGTACTTTTTCCAACAATTGTTTACAGACAGATTATTTCACTTATAATTCACTGTATCACAATTCCAGTGGGTCAGAAGTTTACATACACTATGTTGACTGCGCCTTTAAACAGCTTGGAAAATTCCAGAAAATGATGTCTTGGCTTTAGAAGCTTCTGATAGGCTAATTGACATCATTTGAGTCAATTGGAGGTGTACCTGTGGATGTATTTCAAGGCCTACAGTCAAACTCAGTGCCTCTTTGCTTGACATTATGGGAAAATCAAAAGAAATCAGCCAAGACCTCAGAAAAACAATTGTAGACCTCCACAAGTCTGGTTCATCCTTGGGAGCAATTTCCAAACGCCTGAAGGTCCCATGTTCATCTGTACAAACAATACAATAGTAGGCAAGTATAAACTCCATGGGACCACGCAGCCATCATACTGCTCAGGAAGGAGACGCGTTCTGTCTCCTAGAGATGAACGTACTTTGGTGCGAAAAGTGCAAATCAATCCCAGAACAACAGCAAAGGACCTTGTGAAGATGCTGGAGGAAACAGGTACAAAAGTATCTACAGTGGGGAAAAAATGTATTTAGTCAGCCACCAATTGTGCAAGTTCTCCCACTTAAAAAGATGAGGCCTGTAATTTTCATCATGGGTAAAAAAAAAATCCAGAAAATCACATTGTAGGATTTTTAATGAATTTATTTGCAAATTATGGTAGAAAATAAGTATTTGGTCAATAACAAAAGTTTCTCAATACTTTGTTATATACCCTTTGTTGGCAATGACACAGGTCAAACATTTTCTGTAAGTCTTCACAAGGTTTTCACACACTGTTGCTGGTATTTTGGCCCATTCCTCCATGCAGATCTCCTCTAGAGCAGTGATGTTTTGGGGCTGTCGCTGGGCAACACAGACTTTCAACTCCCTCCAAAGATTTTCTATGGGGTTGAGATCTGGAGACTGGCTAGGCCACTCCAGGACCTTGAAATGCTTCTTACGAAGCCACTCCTTCGTTGCCCGGGCGGTGTGTTTGGGATCATTGTCATGCTGAAAGACCCAGCCACGTTTCATCTTCAATGCCCTTGCTGATGGAAGGAGGTTTTCACTCAAAATCTCACGATACATGGCCCCATTCATTCTTTCCTTTACACGGATCAGTCGTCCTGGTCGCTTTGCAGAAAAATAGCCCCAAAGCATGATGTTTCCACCCCCATGCTTCACAGTAGGTATGGTGTTCTTTGGATGCAACTCAGCATTCTTTGTCCTCCAAACACGACGAGTTGAGTTTTTACCAAAAAGTTATATTTTGGTTTCATCTGACATTCTCCCAATCCTTTTCTGGATCATCCAAATGCACTCTAGCAAACTTCAGACGGGCCTGGACATGTACTGGCTTAAGCAGGGGGACACGTCTGGCACTGAAGGATTTGAGTCCCTGGCGGCGTAGTGTGTTACTGATGGTAGGCTTTGTTACTTTGGTCCCAGCTCTCTGCAGGTCATTCACTAGGTCCCCCCGTGTGGTTCTGGGATTTTTGCTCACCGTTCTTGTGATCATTTTGACCCCACGGGGTGAGATCTTGCGTGGAGCCCCAGATCGAGGGAGATTATCAGTGGTCTTGGATGTCTTCCATTTCCTAATAATTGCTCCCACAGTTGATTTCTTCAAACCAAGCTGCTTACCTGTTGCAGATTCAGTCTTCCCAGCCTGGTGCAGGTCTACAATTTTGTTTCTGGTGTCCTTTGACAGCTCTTTGGTCTTGGCCATAGTGGAGTTTGCAGTGTGACTGTTTGAGGTTGTGGACAGGTGTCTTTTATACTGATAACAAGTTCAAACAGGTGCCATTAATACAGGTAACGAGTGGAGGACAGAGGAGCCTCTTAAAGAAGAAGTTACAGGTCTGTGAGAGCCAGAAATCTTGCTTGTTTGTAGGTGACCAAATACTTATTTTCCACCATAATTTGCTAATAAATTCATAAAAAAATCCTACAATGTGATTTTCTGGAGAAAATAATTCTCAATTTGTCTGTCATAGTTGACGTGTACCTATGATGAAAATTACAGGCCTCTCTCATCTTTTTAAGTGGGAGAACTTGCACAATTGGTGGCTGACTAAATACTTTTTTCCCCACTGTATATCCACAGTAAAACGAGTCCTATATCGACATAACCTGAAAGGCCGCTCAGCAAGGAAGAAGCCACTGCTCCAAAACCGCCATAAAAAAGCCAGACTACGGTTTGCAACTGCACATTGGGACAAAGAACTGTTTGGCCATAATGACCATCATTATGTTTGGAGGAAAAAGGGGGTAGCTTGCAAGCCGAAGAACACCATCCAAACCATGAAGCACGGGGTGGCAGCATCATGCTGTGGGGGTACTTTGCTGCAGGAGGGCTGGTGCACTTCACAAAAAGATGGCATCATGAGGAAGGAAAATTATGTGGATATATTGAAGCAACATCTCAAGACATCAGTCAGGAAGTTAAAGCTGGGTCGCAAATGGGTCTTCCAAATGGACAATGACCCCAAGCATACTTCCAAAGTTGTGGCAAAATGGCTTAAGGACAACAAAGTCAAGGTATTGGAGTGGCCATCACAAAGCCCTGATCTCAATCCTATAGACAATTTGTGGGCAGAACTGAAAAAGCGTGTGCGAGTAAGGAGGCCTACAAACCTGACTCAGTTACACCATCTCTATCAGGAGGAATGGGCCAAAATTCACCCAACTTATTGTGGGAAGCTTGTGGAAGGCTACCCGAAACATTTGACCCAAGTTCAACAATTTAAAAGGCAATGCTTCCAAATACTAATTGAGCAAACTTCTGACCCACTGGGAATGTGATGAAATAAATAAAAGCTGAAATAAATCACTCTCTACTATTATTCTGACATTTCACATTCTTAAAATAAAGTGGTGATCCTAACTGACCTAAGACAGGGAATTTTTACTAGGATTAAAAATGTCAGGAATTGTGAAAAACTGAGTTTAGATGTATTTGGCTAAGGTGTATGTAAACTTCAGACTTCAACTATAGCTCCATACTTGTGTATTTTATTCCACGTTACTATTTTATTTTAAAACTCTTCATTGTTGGGAATGGCTCGTAAACAAGCATTTGACAGTAAAGTCTACACCAGTTGTAGTCGGCGCATGTGACAGATAAAACTGTTATTCGGCATGAAGCATTCAAAACAGGACATTTAAGCGGTCTTGCTCTTCACCGTAATCAGAGGGCTAATATCAATACTATTCATGCCAGTCTCTCTTAGCTAAAAGTACAGTTGCAACTGACTGCATCAATTTTTGTTTTTAGAAGCTTTGCGTTAAATTCCAAATTGTTTGCATAGTGAACTTACACACAGCACTGACACACCCACTTACCCTAACAGCTACAGTTGAAGTCGGACGTTTACATACACCTTAGCCAAATACATTTAAACTCAGTTTTTCACAATTCCTGACATTTAATCCTAGTAAAAATTCCCTGTCTTAGGTCAGTTAGGATCACCACTTTATATTAAGAATGTGAAATGTCAAAATAATAGAGATAATTATTTATTTCAGCTTTTATTTATTTCATCACATTCCCAGTGGTTCAGAAGTTTACATACACAACTAGTATTTGGTAGCATTGCCTTTAAATTGTTTAACTTGGGTCAAACGTTTCAGGTAGCCTTCCACAAGCTTCCCACAATACTTTGGGTGAATTTTGGCCCATTCCTCCTGAAAGAGCTGGTGTAACTGAGTGAGGTTTGTAGGCCTCCTTGCTTGCACACACTTTTCCAAGCTGTTTAAAGGCACATTCAACTTAGTGTACGTAAACTTCTGACCCACTGGAATTGTGATACAGTGAATTATAAGTGAAATAATCTGCCTGTAAACAATTGTTTGTAAAATTACTTGTGTCATGCACAAAGTAGATATCCTAACCGACTTGCCAAATCTATAGTTTGTTAACAAGAATTGGGTGGAGTGGTTGAAAAATGAGTTTTAATGATAACTGTATGTAAACTTCAGACTTTAACTGTATGTTCTATCCTTAAGCAGTTCTTGTCTAGTAATGTTTTGTATTAGGTCATGCTAAATGTTTTGTGTGGACCCCAGGAAGACTAGCTGCTGCAATTGCAACAGCTAAATGGGGATCCTAATAAAACAAAACAAATTAAAATGAGCCTACATCCCTGCATTTACAGCCCAAGCCAATAATTGTGTACTCACTTGATAACAATAATACATTCCTCATTGCTCTGTGTTGTTGTAGCCTAGGTAGAATAATGTTAGTCTAAAAACGTCACCCTAACCGAGTGTGGAGCTTTGCGTGCCCGACTGCTGCAGAGTGCAGCCTGGAGGTACGCACAGATCTGCCATTACATAATATATACTGTTTTTTCTCTCTCACTTTGACAGGTAAATATTTATAGCTCTAATATTTAGTTCATGAGTGGCCTAATATCTAGCTTCTTCGGCTACACAACTCTAGCCACTCTCTTCAAGCTACTCCCTTGCTTAATAGGCTATGGACGCAAGCCTCTCCGCTATTCCTCTTCCCGTGAAATCCCCCAAAAAGCTATAGGCCACAAAAGCAATTTTTTATACTAGGCCTAATAGGCTTTTTATGGAGAGAAGCAGAATTGCTCTTGCTAATTGCTGAATGTAAAATAGACCTATTAATTGTCGGGGAAAGTTGCAGAGAGAGAGTGTGTCACTGGCCAGTGATGATAACATTGTTGCACTGATGTAGCCTATTAAAATGGTTGCACAGGACAGACAGTTCTGAGCAGCGAAAAAGAGGCCAACGAATTGACATCCATTATCCATTGAGCAACGAGGCAAGCAATGACATGTAAAAGATGCACACGCTAAACAGCATTTCTTGTTGAATTTCTACATGTAATATTATTTTTCTACGCTGGTATTATTTGCAGTTGTCAATATGACAACAAACACACCATGAAGCACTGAATGGTCTGTGTTACCACATTAATAGGCCTACAGCGTGCAGTAGGATGCTTTGATCAGTTGATTGACATGTGTAGGCTACTGTAGAACGATAAACCTTCCTCTAGTTGGATGCTCTCTAATGTTTTATAGATATGTATAATTTATCGTTATTGTCGTGTGGATGCCCTTAACGCTTAAATGAATATGGTATGAACACAGCTGTAGTTCTCAACCACGGTTTGATTTGATAAAAATCACGACAGCAACATCATTGATAGCCTAATATGGGATTTAATATTACCTGCTATTTTGTTTTAATTATCATTTTGGAGGCGGAGGGTTATATATATATATATATATATATTATTATTTTTTACGCTCGGGGAGGGCCAGGTAATAATATATTTTCATCAGGGGGAGGGCCATCCATTTTCATTTCAAAGAGGTCCGATTACCTCCAGGTATCCCCCAATATAAATAACGTTCACTACCTTATTATACAGACTTTCACACACACACACACACACACTCCTTTCTATTCTATCCTTACCCAGCATTCCGCCAGCCACCAGGATGTCGAAGAGTGTCTCAGCATAGCGGCGATAGTCAAGCTTGGCACCAGAGGCATCAAGAAATTTCGCAACAGCGTCGAGATCACTGCCAGTTTGGTTCAGACCTTGTACAATGGTTTCCTGAAACTGAGTAGGGTCAAACACCTTCTTTTCATCTGTTGAAAGATCAATGCATTCATTAGGGACACAAAATCATAACAGAATATTGCCAGTCATGATAGTAATACATTCAGTTTACACCCACCTCTCTTCCTAGTTTTAAAACGCTGGCCTGTAAGCGTTGGCTTCTGAATCTTCTGATTACTCATAAAAGACACCCTGAATGAGAATGAGTAGAGGACATTATTATTATTATTATAGCTGAAAGATAAGCTTGTTGCCTGTAAGTCAACTAACACCACAATATATGTACAAGTGGCATTGACAGGTGTTGGTTTGGGATAAAAGTGTAATAATTGACAAGTCAGCAACCCCATGGCAATGTCATCCATAGCACACAATGTTGGCAACTGCTGTTAACCAGTCTAGAGCCATATGGCTTTGCAGTCAACTAACTTTAGCTAGCTAGTTAAATTTACATCATAGCTAGTTAGCTAGCTAACGTTACCTACATTATGACTTGTTACAAATAAATACCTAGCTAGATAGCTATCTATCTATTTGACAATCATAGGCTGATCATGTCATGACTGCGATGATGACTGTTGAAAAAGTAGCTAACGCGTTACTTAGCTAACGTTAGCTATCCAGCGTAAGGCCCGCCGGATGGGTACCCTGGTCTAGGAGATGCAATACATGCATGGCCCGTTCGCTAACTAGCAAGTTACTGACTAAGGTAACTGCTAATCGGCCTGAAAATCAACAAATACCAGCCATCTGTAACATATTGTAAGGCGAGCTAGCTAGTTATTGCTACTATAAAGACATACCTGCCATGCATGATTGACAGAGTTAGCTAAACGTTAGCTAGCCAGAGTAAGCAGGCTAACTTTAGATAGCTAGCATGGTTGCTAACGCGTAAGCGAACTTGCGCAGAGGCTAATAAACCTAATTGATTTAGCTAGCTACTATTGAAAGCATACCAGTTAATTAACATTACTGTTATATACTACTTACCGAAATCAAAGTTACTCTCAAAAACAGTCGAAAAAATAAGAACGTTACTGCGACAGAACTGAACTGAATTCTCTGGCCCGACAAAAAAAAACAGTGAAGCGGCTGCGCAATCGTCTTCTAAATCTTCTTCTTCTTTGAAATACAGGGGCGGTTGGAATCCATTCATTAAAGGTTCATTAACGCCACCTACTGTGCTGGAGTGTTGGCCAGCGACAGGAAGGCATTAAAATCCTATTTGCCAGCCGGTCATGTCCAATGGTGGCAAAAGTACCCAATTGTCATACTTGAGTAAAAGATACCTTAATAGAAAATGACTCAAGTAAAAGTGAAAGTCATCCAGTAAAAAACTACTTGAGTAAAAGTCTAAAAGTATTTGGTTTTAAATATACTCAAGTATCAAAAGTAAAAGTATAAATCATTTCAAATTCCTTATATTAAGCAAACCAGACTGCACGATGTTCTTGTATTTAAAATTGACGGTTAGCCAGGGGCACTCTCCAACACTCAGACATGAGTCCGCCAGATCAGAGGCAGTATGGATGACCAGGGATGTTCTCTTGAGAAGTGCGTGAATTGGACCATTTTACTTTTGGGTGTCAGGGAAAATGTATGGAGTAAAAAGTACATTATTTTCTTTAGGAATGTAGTGAAGTAAAAGTAAAAGTTGTCAAAAATATAAATAGCAAAGTAAAGTACAGATACCCCAAAAAACGAATTAAGTAGTACTTTAAAGTATTTTTACTTCAGTACTTTACACCACTGGTCATGTCTAGATGGGATACAGCTTTTGTCCAATTGACTTCAAAGTAGATATTTTTTTTTGCATTTTAGCTAACCTTAACCTAATTCTCGAGAGTAAGAAGAGGGCCCCGACGGAGAAGGGCGACATCTTACGCATTCCAATCCACTTTTACCAGTGTAACGGCTCTTATATGGCTCATCAACAAAGGACACAGTGCTGTTCCACTTTCACTGTTTATTCGGCAAATACATACACAACACTGTGTAAACTTCAGAACAACTGCAAACCCACCAAGCAATATCCATCAAAGTTTAACAACTATTTTGCTGGAAGTGTAATAATTTTATACAAGTTAAATGTATATTTATAATATACATTTTATATATTACATTTATAACAACATAGCTACAGAGGAGCGCTCAACTATAATGACTCCGTCTGACGGCCATAACACATCACCACAGCACATGAGCTACATGTGTACAGTAACATAACATTATTCCATATAATTTGGGAGCACGTACCTGCAAATACATATACAACACTGTAGAAACTTCAGAACAACTGCAAACCCACCAAGAAATCTGAGTGACATGAAATAACATAAAATAAAAATACATTTACACTTCATGAGGTGACTAGCCTCATTAGCAAAGAAAGTACAAGCGAACGTTAGCTAGCCTTTCGCATTACTCAACGTGCAAATTTAGTAAATGTCCATAAAATGTTAAATACATGACAGAACTCTGTAACGCTATCTTATCACATAACATGTCAACATCGATAGTGATTATAAAACAATATGGTTTTCAGCCTAACATACATTAGATATCATTTTAAAAGTGAAAACACTGGGTGCAGCATCGATCATGATACATACCTCCATCAAAGTTTAACAACTCTTTGGTCGGATACAGCGTGATCATGTGCACATATATTATATACACAGGGATGCAGTTACTCAAATAATACAGCAGGTGGCTCCACAACTATATATACATATACAGTGAGGGAAAAAAGTATTTGATCCCCTGCTGATTTTGTACATTTGCCCACTGACAAAGAAATGATCAGTCTATAATTTTAATGGTAGGTTTATTTGAACAGTGAGAGACAGAATAACAACAAAAAAATCCAGAAAACCGCATGTCAAAAATGTTATGAATTGATTTGCATTTTAATGAGGGAAATAAGTATTTGACACCTCTGCAAAACATGACTTAATACTTGGTGGCAAAACCCTTGTTTGCAATCACAGAGGTCAGACGTTTGTTGTAGTTGGCCACCAGGTTTGCACACATCTCAGGAGGGATTTTGTCCCACTCCTCTTTGCAGATCTTCTCCAAGTCATTAAGGTTTCGAGGCTGACGTTTGGCAACTCGAAACTTCAGCTCCCTCAACAGATTTTCTATGGGATTAAGGTCTGGAGACTGGCTAGGCCACTCCAGGACCTTAATGTGCTTCTTTTTGAGCCACTCCTTTGTTGCCTTGGCCGTGTGTTTTGGGTCATTGTCATGCTGGAATACCCATCCACGACCCATTTTCAATGCCCTGGCTGAGGGAAGGAGGTTCTCACCCAAGATTTGACGGTACATGGCCCCGTCCATCGTCCCTTTGATGAGGTGAAGTTGTCCTGTCCCCTTAGCAGAAAAACACCCCCAAAGCATAATGTTTCCACCTCCATGTTTGACGGTGGGGATGGTGTCCTTGGGGTCATAGGCAGCATTCCTCCTCCTCCAAACACGGCGAGTTGAGTTGATGCCAAAGAGCTCCATTTTGGTCTCATCTGACCACAACACTTTCACCCAGTTCTCCTCTGAATCATTCAGATGTTCATTGGCAAACTTCAGACGGGCATGTATATGTGATTTCTTGAGCAGGGGGACCTTGCGGGCGCTGCAGGATTTCAGGCCTTCACGGCGTAGTGTGCTACCAATTGTTTTCTTGGTGACTATGGTCCCAGCGGCCTTGAGATCATTGACAAGATCCTCCCATGTAGTTCTGGGCTGATTCCTCACCGTTCTCATGATCATTGCAACTCCACGAGGTGAGATCTTTCATGGAGCCCCAGGCCGAGGGAGATTGACAGTTCTTTTGTGTTTCTTCCATTTGCGAATAATCGCACCAACTGTTGTCACCTTCTCACCAAGCTGCTTGGCGATGGTCTTGTAGCCCGTTCCAGCCTTGTGTAGGTCTACAATCTTGTCCCTGACATCTTTGGAGAGCTCTTTGGTCTTGGCCATGGTGGAGAGTTTGGAATCTGATTGATTGATTGCTTCTGTGGACAGGTGTCTTTTATACAGGTAACAAGCTGAGATTAGGACCACTCCCTTTAAGAGTGTGCTCCTAATCTCAGCTCGTTACCTGTATAAAAGACACCTGGGAGCCAGAAATCTTTCTGATTGAGAGGGGGTGAAATACTTATTTCCCTCATTGAAATGCAAATCAATTTATTACATTTTTGACATGCGTTTTTCTGGATTTTTTTGTTGTTATTCTGTCTCTCACTGTTCAAATAAACCTACCATTAAAATTATAGACTGATCATTTCTTTGTCAGTGGGCAAACGTACAAAATCAGCAGGGGATCAAATACTTTTTTCCCTCACTGTACATAACCTGGCTGCTAACACATTTGGGGCTGCCTTTGAGATCACTGGACCACCTGAAGGCATCTTGGACTGAAGTGATTGACATTGCTTGAACGTCACTAAGGAGGTTTTCGTAGGGCTCACGAAGCAGTCTGTGGCCAACTCCTTTGACAAAGGGCACTCAACTCAGAGCATCAGCAACCGTATTCTGAGGACCCGGCACGTACTTGATGTCAAAATCGTAACTGGCTAACTTGGCCAACCAGTGCTGATCGCAACCGTCCAGCCTCGGCTTGGTTATAATGTGAGTAAGTGGATTGATGTCAATCCAAACAGTAAAGACATGGCCTTTCAACCAGTGACTGAACTTGGCTCAGATTGACCCCTTCCTTGCCAGGAACTCTAACCGATGAGCTGGGTAGTTCTTCTGAGACTGAGACAAAGACTTGCTGGCAAATGCAATGGGCCTGGCACAGGTTTCTCCGTCTTGCAACTGTGACAGGACAGCACCAATGCCATCCAGGGATGCATCTGTCGACAACATGAACGGACAGGAGAAGTCAGGATGTGCCAACACCACCGTGTCTACTAGAGATGTCTTAAACTTTTCGAAGGCCTGCTCATGTTCGCGTGTCCAGTCTGTGACGCTCAACTTTCGACACTGTGAGGAGTGCTTTACTTTCTGGCAACCCTTTTTTCTCTTTGATCCAGTCAACAACGAGAAGAGAGGTCTGGCAATTGCGGAGAAACCTGGCACAAAGTGTTGGTAGTAGTTTACCATGCAGAGGAACGACCTTATCCGTTTCTGTGAAGGAGTCACATCATCAAATTCCATCAGATCAGCACTGCTCATCTTAGAG